CAAGATATTATACAACTGCCACTCTGTTTATAAATACTGAAATACAGGCCTCATGATAATAAGTTATTTAAAATCATTCCAGCCCGTTTTTTTAAATTAATTACAGCTTATTCATTTTGTATCCCAGCTGTAGCCCCCTCCCTCAGCCCCTCCCAAGCCTACTTTACCCCCCTCTTCTCCTCCCATGCCCCCCCTCTCAGTCCACTGATAGAGGAGGTCCTCCTCCCCTTCCATCTGTCCCTAGCCTATCAGGTCTCATCAGGACTGGCTGCATTGTCTTCCTCTGTGGCCTGGTAAGGCTGCTCAACAATCAGAGGGAGTTGATCAAAAAGCCAGCCACTGAGTTCATGTCAGAGAAAGTCCCTGTTCCTATTACTAGGGAACCCACTTGGACATTGAGCTGCCATGGCTACATCTGTGCAGGGTTCTAGGTTATCTCCATGAATGGTCCTTGGTTGGAGTATCAGTCTCAGAAAAGGCCCCTGTGCCCAATTTTTTTGGTTCTGTTGCTCTCCTTGTGGAGCTCCATTCCCCTCCAGGTCTTTCTGTCTCCCCCTCCTTCTAAAAAGTGGCAGGAAAAAAAATCCAAACATGCACCTTAAAAGCCAGTGGATGCTGGATGTTACTACTGAGAAGGAGTATTTGAAGTATTCTGATTTGTGGATGCATTTCTTGTACCTTTCACTTTTAAAAGTTTGTTAGAGAAATTAGATTGAAGCTCTCTTAGATGTGTGCTTGGCCTAACATGCATTAAGGCTATTCGCTGCCAGGTTAATTGCCAGCAAAAATAAATAAATAAAAACAATAGCTTACTCAGGCATGCTTTAAGCTAGGTAAACATCACTAGAAAGCACATAATCTACATATGTGCAGAAGACAGAACACCACTGATGGTCAAAGGCCAAAATATAGACTGGATAGGTGGTGATGCAATTAGGAGCTTACTGTTAGGATAAAATGCACCTGCTAGCTAACCCTTCATCTCCCACAGTGAGCAAGCAGCATGCTCCTGCATGGCACACACAAGGAGGATTTTCCTGCTCTGCTCTGTGTCCCTTCCCCTTCCTTCAGGACACATCATTCTATGAAATGCTACAACCCACATTCAGCCTGTGTTTGCAGTGCATCTTCTTCTGTTCCCTCACATATGGCAGCCTGAAACAATTACATAATGAGACAGATTATCAAGGCCTGACTGTCAAGATGGAAAGACTATGAATAAATAGTACCCACTTATTAGCTCCACTGCTCTTGTGCTCACTGATGCATCTGTGTTTCTGACACTCAGATTTTATTCTCATACCCCTGGTTTTCTATGTAATGAAACAGTACAGCATTAACAATATTCAGGAAAGGACTTGAAAAGTCAAAGGGACTAGACTGTGGCTAGAGCATGCTTACACCAAGTTAAGCTGTGGGAAATGTCCCCTGAACCATAGAAACAACTAACCAACCAAAAAGGATATAAATCCCCTTTGCTATTCTAATGAATTATGCCGAATTTTCTATGGTTAATGTTGAGCAGACTACTCTTTCCTATTTCTTAAGTGTTGTTCATAGCAAAGATTTATTTGTTTATTTGTTTTTGTTTTTTGTTTTTTGTTTTTAAAGAAGGGTCTTCCTCGGGAGAAGGAAACGCACCCTATGTCAGGATATTTTTTATTTGTTTATTCGTTGTGTGCGAGTGTGTGTGTGTGTGTGTGTGTGTGTGTGTGTGTGTGTGTCACAGCTTACATGTAGAGCTCAGAGAACAATTTGCGCTAGTCTACTTTCCCCACTCCCATGTGGATTCAGGGTTCCTAGCTCAGATCATCAAGCCTGGCCAAGCTTGACAACAAGAGCCTGTACTCCCTGAGCCATCTTATCAGCTCTTGGGACCACTTGGTGCTCAACAGTTTTCATCAGGAATGAGTGATTCACCCGGATTTCTAAGTCTGCTCAAAATTTCACCCTCCTAGGTGTGAGTTGATTTCTTTCACACTCAGAAAAGTGAACAAGAATTTAGTGACAGAGCACAAAGGAACATACTAAGCTGTCCTAATTCTTTTGATTGAAATTGGATGCATTGCTGTTTTGTGATAAATCTGTATTTAATGATGAATCATGGCAAGCCTCACAGTGCCTGAATGTGGTGAGACGCCATGGTTTGAAACAGCTGGGTGCCACATGGATATGGACCATTGAGATGCGTGCCCAGATGTTTCCTCTTTCAGGCCACTGATGTCATTTTATATCTATAGCAGCAGCTAAAACAAAAGCCTCTGTGATCCAAAAGAGTTAACATTTCTCTTAAATAGAGGAGGACAAATATTCTTATGAAGGTCCATAGACTGAACAATTTGTAGGCCCACTATTGAGCTTCTAGGGTTTTATTTTTGCTTTTCCTTTTCTTGCCTCCTAATACCTAATTTAAGAATATGATGTTTATTTACCTCTGTTTGTGTTCCTCAATATTCTGCCATTCCTAGAGAACTCTTTTCATGCAAGGGCATGAAAGTTTGAAAGCTTACGTCCTCTGAATTCATTAGATATATTTTCTTTACTGATTACTAAGAGTAGAATTGATTTGCAGGGTATTTTTTTCCTGGAGAGGAAAACGAATTAAAGATAAAAATCAGCAGGAGGGTGGCAGACAGTAGCAATATGGCGTGGGTGCAGACAAATTGCTGTGATTCATAGAAAAGTTAGGGCTCACAGATCAACTCTGTTGTGAGAAACTGTTTCACTTGTAGAATAGTTCCCAGTCTCAGATCATCAGAAGAAAAAAAAAAAAAACTGCATAAAACCTCACCTGATTAGGAACTGAGCAGCACAAACTCACCACCCGTAAAGCAGGTTCCTTCAGTGTTACGCACTTTCTAACTATTACCTTGAACACATCTGGGCCCTCAGCACCTGCTATGATGCCACTTTCTGGTTGACATATACCTAAGAAATGTGAACACTAACACCCAGACTATAGAGCCAAGCACATTCGAGTACCGGCTACAGCTGAAAGAATATGTTTCTATTCCTCGTCCATCTGTTCTGGCAACAGAAATTTAAGCTAAAAACAGAGAATAAGCTCCTGAGAAGCAAGTCTAAATAGGGTGAAAGCAGCAAGATGTATGCTGTAGGGTTTCAAGCCCCAGGCAGAGCTCGGCACCACGGGTTTTTGTAGCTGAGTGGTTGTTTTTATTTGGGACTTTCTGCTACAATTAGAGCACAAAGTTTTAAAAATAATATTCCTTTATCCTTCAGATTAAAATACATTGGTTTGGCCACACATTCTGTTCTAAGTGCTGTGTTATGTTTTCTAATGAATATGAGCCTAATGAAGTTGGGGGGGGGGTCGAAACGCTGTTATTATAGCTGAATCCCATTGAACATGAACCTCTAACAATGCAGAACTCTGACCTATCACATTCCTTCGTAATGAGTGGAAGCTCCCTGTACAAGACGGGTCCCACACAAACACATTTACTTCTCCCCAAGTTCAATGTTGGCTTTACAGAGCTGCCACACGTTTATCTCATGTGATTGCTGTGGCTTCCCACAGCTACCAGTGAGCCACCTCCTCCAGACTTCCTCTTGGTGCTAAAGCAGTATTAAATTATTCATTTACAACTAGAAAAAAAAAAAAACCACCAAGAACATTACAAAAGAATACACACAGGGTGTGGTGGCATGTGCCTTTAATACCAGGAAAGCAAACATTTGTTTACCAGGCCAACTTGGTCTGAATATAAAGTCCAAGGCCAGTCATAGCCACACATGGTGACCCTGTCTCTAAAAGGAAAAGAGAAAGAATGAAATAGAGAAGAAAAGAAAGAAAGAAAGAAAGAAAGAAAGAAAGAAAGAAAGAAAGAAAGAAAGAAGAAAAAAGAAAGAAAAAAGAAGAAAGGAAGAAAGAAAAAGGAAGACGTGGAAAAGGCAAAGCAAAGAGCATCACAAAAGAAAAGGACCATGTGTGGTCACTATGGTTTCTGTATCCTATCAGGCTCTCAGCACTCTGTGTTCTCTCCCAAAGCATGGGGGTAAGGGTAGGTTCCCCTGAAGGTCAGCATGTTGGAGGGTGCTGTCTGTTTTCTCAATGAGGACAAAGCTTTGAAAAGAGTTTGTAGCTTACAAAGTATAATGAATGCAAAAAGTACCTCTGTTTTCCAAGCATCTGCTGTGCATACAACCACTGTACATTGCTTACGCTTCAAAGTGAGTGAGCTCAGCTTTGTGTTTATCATGTCCTTAGTATGTGAATACTTAAAAACTGAAATTCTAATTTTCAGCTTCTTTAACTTGGTTCAGGATGGAGATCTGTGATGTTTGTCATGTGACATGGGCTTAATAGACATTTAGCAGGCCACACCAAATAGCACCAGTCTTTTCCTGGAGTCCCTGTTAATAATAAGATGATGTTTGTGATGTGCCAATCATCTATCTGTTCTTAAATGTCATTGTGGCGAAGTGTATAGTCCTTAAACTCAGGAAATGTTTCCAAGAACTTCTATCCTTTCTTGAACTTCTACACAGTTATCCTGTGCACAAGCCCCTGATGAAATAAGACTCAATCTTCATAACCTAGGAACTAAGAAGCTTCAACTCCATGATCTCCAGGCTCTCTTCGTTGAGTAATTTAACAAAATCACATCTGACAACAGATCTGTATGCTTTATTTGTAGTGATGAAATGTGTATTTGCTGCCAAATGTGTGATGTGGGCTGCATAGCTCTTCCATGTATACGTGTAAAATAACATTGACTTTGTTGATGTAAAAAGCTACCAGTATGTTTCTTTCGGTATTATTTGGCTCTGAATTTGTTCTTCCCAGTTGTTTTAGAACAAGCTGACAGGATAGTGTTCCATAGAGCCCTGGAAGCTAGTTAAATTATGACGTACAGAAGCACAGCATTTTTTCAAGCCAAACATTTTCTAAAGTGGCTTTTGCTGCCTCCATAACATGCAATGTCATTACTGTGAACACGCACACTCACTGTGCCTGACCAGTGTCCACTTTCTTTCAGATCTGAGTGACCAGCTGCTGGAGGTTGTTGGCCTGGAAGGAGCAATGGAAATGGGCCAAATATACACGGGACTAAAAAGTGCAGGCCGGCGGCTGGCTCAGTGCTCCTGTGTGGTGATCAGGTAATTCTTTCTCTACAGTTGACAGTGTGCTTTGACATAGCTTAACCCCAAACTAGCGAAAAGGATGTACATATCTGATAGTAATATTTTTTTTTGTTTCAACTGATTACATATTAAAACATGTATTTCAAAATGATGGAAATTAACGTATTTTACAGCCTTAGCAGCTACTTCTTACCAGGTCCTACAGAATCTAATCTCCTATTTCCTACCATGATGTTTGGTTACATTTTTGTAACTGTGACCAAACAAATGAGGAGAAAGCATCTTAAAGGAGCAATGGTTTAATTTGCTCAGAATTGTGCTGTGTCAGCCCACTTTGTGGCAAAGTTGTGGCAGAGTAGGTGACTGGATCTTGAAGCCAGGAAACAGAGGGGAAAGGTTCGAGACAACATACTCTCAAGTACCTACTTTCAGTGGTCAACTTTTTCCAACAAGAGTCCACCTATTGAGGGGTCTAGAAACTTGTAAAGTAGGTCTAGCAGGTAGAGACCTTATCTTTAACATATCAGTCTATGGAAGATATTTCAAGTTCAAATCATAATATATGGATGCACCAACTAACGTGCAGATTTAATCTATCACTGTGTTCATCAACAACCAAATTACTGAAGCACCAAAGTATTTACTGGACAAATTATTCAAAGAATAAACTAATGATGTGCTATTAAGTTACATTTTCTCATGGACTAAAGTGCAGCATTATTCTTGTAAACCTAAATAATAAATATATATTTATAAACTTTCCAAAGATTGATTTCTTACAATACTTCACCTGGTAGAAAACATAGAATGTATTTTGATCAAAAAATGAAACCACAAATTGTAGTGCAGACCCAATAAGTATTATTTCACGAATGTGTTCATCCTAGAAAGTCTTCCACACATAACATGTTTTTGTAAGGTTTGTAGTGCAAAGTGGTGGTGGTCATGGTGGTGCTGATATGCTGATGGTGGTATTGGTGGTGGTGGTGGTGGAGGTGGTGATGGTGATGGTAGTGATGGTGGTGGTGGAGGTGGTGATGGTGGTGGTTGGTGTGGTGATGGTGAC